CATATCAGCACGTAAAGTCTCTGGGACCACCAGCCTGAGTTCCGACTGTTAATTGCGAGGCCTCTCAGGAGTGGGTGTGCTAAGCCTGTAATGGACTTCTCCCGAATACAACACAAACTGATCAGAAACCTTCGCAATCTTCTTTACCTGGTTTCGTGGAAGATCTGACATGTCTCCTTTTAGGACCTCCTTCATTTGCTGAATCCACGAGTCTTCGTCTTGGTGAACCTTGTTTCCCCTCCAACGTTCATCGTGGCATCCAGACTGGTCTACGGGAGTCGGGAACTTGCATCCACTCCCGCTCGTGACCTTGTCATCACCATCAGTGCCTCAGCCACGGTAGTTAGAGACTCTGGTATTCCAGCATCGGAACTATCCGCCCCGAGTTCGACTTGGTCCGAGCGAACCGCATCGATCACAGGGGTACTTGGGAGTTCTGAAGGCTTCATGATCTTTTCATGGATTCTGGATACGAAACGTAAATGCACTATCTTGTCGGGGTCATCGAGCTCCCAGGATTCTCCAAGCACGAGGGTCTTAGAGGTCAAGTAGTCGGCCGCTTGATTAAACTCACGTTTGACATGAATCAATTTAACCGACGCAAAATTCTTCCTGGGATCCCCATACTCAGCTAAGCGTCGTTGCAGGTTGGGCTGATTACAATTGATCAGACCCTGAGCCTGCTGGACGACGATTCAAAAATCACCGACTGCCACAAGCTCCTTGACATAGTACTTCATAGCGAGCTTTAGTCCCAAAATCAAGCCATGGTACTCAGCATCATTGACCGCCACACCTTCAAGGATGTGTCCTTCAGCTTTCACAACTTTCCACCCTGGCAGTTTCCACAGTATGCATCCACAACTTCCTCGGCGAGTAGACACCTCCACAGCGCCATCGAAACTCAAAACGTAGCCTTGGTAGTCTGCTTCCAACATTTCCAAACTCACTGGTGGGATCACCTTCAGACGCCCCTTGGCAGGAATCAGAGTCTCTGCGACTTTATCTAGATGTTCCCTGGGAGTAATACCAGACCCAAGTATGGCCGCAAGGCCGTCCTCATCTTTCTGAGTCCGATGGATTTCCAGTGTCCATCTTGATATCTCCAGTCCCCACTTCAGATGTCGTCCATCTGCGATACTGGATTGCAGTAACCACTTTAATACAGAGTAGCGTGTGTACACCACAACTGGGAATTCTAATCCATGGATCAGAGGTCTGAAAGCCTCCAGAGCCCGCAAGATCGCGAGCACTTCTTTCTCAGCTATGTGGTAACGTAGCTCTGATTCCTTCAACACTCTACCCGTTAATCGTACGGGGTGTATGAGTCCTTCATGCTCCTGAACCAAAACGACACACGCCGCCCACGGGTTAGCATGTGGAATTATCACGAAAGGTTTGGTTCTGTCCGGATATCGCAACAGCGGGTTGACACGACCTTACGTTTCAGTATCTCGAAAGACTCCTTTGCGGCTTCTAGGTTCTGTGCAGCACGTTCACGTTCTTCGTCTAGTTCGTAGAGCACTGGTAAGTCTTCAATAAACTTATTGTAGTAGTTCAAACTCCATAAGAAGGACTGCACTCCCTTGTACGTCGACGAGAAAGGTAAATCCTCTATGCCTTTGACAATCTTCGACAAGGCCCTGATCCGTCCGCACTCACTTCATGAGAGTGGAATGGGATGGTCAACTTCCCGAATTCACTTTTCGGTAAGCTCACAGAGATATTCCAGTATCGTAGTCTGTATAACAACGCATCCAGGTCTTCACATAGTTGGTCCCAGATCGACGCCCATGAGCGATATCGTCAATGTACGAGCTTTTTCCCAAGACCGGGCCCATTTGTGACGGAGCCGGGATATTGCGTCGAAATACAGTCATGTCCAATGCCGGGATCTCTGAATCCTGCATATCCACCTCATGTCTCAGGACTTCTTGCAGCTCAAGATCCAGGAACTTAAGAACTTCTGGGTCGACCAACGTTTCTTCTTCAGGAGGTAGACGGACGAATCCTCACAAACAGTTGTTGATGATGCTCTGATAAATTAAATGTGCATTCTTCGATCCAAAGGCATTCGGAGCCATTGAAAATAACCGAACGGACAGACAAATGCAGAGATCAGCTTCGCCCGTTCAGTCATTCGCATCGCCCAGAATCCGCTCGCCATGTCGAGGCTCATAAACCACATTGCGGACTTGGAGTCTACCAGCAGGTTATCGATCAAAGGTAGGGGGTAGCGAGATAGCTTTATGAGCAGATTCAGAAGTTGGTAGTCAATACACATTCGGATGTCTATGCCGTTTTCTTCAGCACAATCACAATAGATGATGACCACTCGGACTCTGAATGCTCAATGAGTTCCGCCTCCAGCAACTTCAACAGGAGTTCGAACACCTTCACCAAGAAAGGTGCGGAAATCTGCCTCGCACGTAAAGCCACTGGTTTTGCTTCACCAATGTCGATATCACACACCACGCCCCTAGCCAGGACTGGAGCCGCGTTGCCGTCTCCCAGGAAGATGCTGCGGTGGCGTTTCAGGATTCCTCTCATCTTGGCTTTCATCTCTGGAGTTGTGACACCCGGAACTACGACATTAGCTTCGTCAATGTTACATTCCGGGGTCAGTTCCTCAATGTCCGGGAGCATGATGAGTTGGTCTCGTAACTGCGCCATCAAATCACTTCCTTGCCAGAGATATACAGCCGGTTCCAGGTCCAATTCTTCAGCAGAGACTCGCATTACCCGAGCTAATTCTGCCTCCAGCCATTGGACCGGTGTCGAACAGCTCGTCTATGACTGGGCGTCCACTGACGGTTCAGGGACCTGAGCGTCATTCTCGATATCTGCCATACTCTCTGATCCCAGAGTCTCAACTTCTGGGCTCGAGTCAGGATGGGTCTGTTCTACCGGCTCGGGACGAGTCTCAGGTTCCTCGGGGTCTCTCGCGACAGTGTTCATGGCGACCGCGGAATTCCTAATGATCTTGAGCGTCATGTCCAATGGTTTCGGTTTTTCTTGCAACTTTACCATCTTCACTTCAGCGACTCGGGACTGTGGACGCATTAAGAGCTTAGTAGGCCACTGATATCGCTGAGTCTGGGTACACGGAGGCTCCTTTTCCCTGATAATCTGCTCTAATCGTTTAGAACGCATCCTTGCTTGGCGTGACACGGTACACTCATGGATTAATTGCTGCCATTCTTCGTACCGCGCTTTACCAGGACGAACGAATCCAGGCTGTTCTGGGAACTGTTTGTACTCCACAATACGCGCAACAGCCGTCATAGTATCAATCCAAACATTTTGGTCTGAAATATTGACAACCTTGACGGCGGTCGCCCAGGATCTGGCAGAATACAGGACATTGGTCACCCAGTTTTCCTCTCCCAGCCCACACCAACTCACGTTGGGGGTTCGACTGGCCATACCGAATTCGTATGATAGCATCCTGACCTGGACGTAGGTGTATGCTTTCCTCTGGGCACGCAGAGAGATCCATACCACGGGACTTGGGGTCATTATCATACATCACCACAGTCTCTTCGTCTGGCAGCTTGACTAAGCCTTCTCGTATGCAGAGTCGGCCGAATGCATAAAGTTCATGCCTAGCAGAATATCCACACCTTCTCCAATATTTCAACCCAGATATTCAGGACGTACACCACACTCCATCCGAGCGTTATCTTCACTCGGGCATGAGTAGTAATGTAAGTGGTCACTCCTCCTAAACCAGAGACTTTGATTTGGCGATGTGTCCGGAGCTTGAGTTTGAGTCTACGCGCTAGATCAAGACTCATAATGCTCACGGACGCACCAGTGTCCAATAAGATTCTGGTTCTGGAGTCGTTCACCGCTCCATGTATTGTAGCCAATCCATGCATATCTCCATGTTCGTGATCTTCCCACCATCCATACCTTTGACCCGGTTTCAATGGCACTTCCAAGGGATCCTGAGATTGTGACTCAGAGATCTCAGGAATCGGGTCATCTGAACGCTGGTACTCTGAGTACAATTGTTCAGGGTAGATGATTTCATCTTG